ACGCTGTCTGTCTCTCTGTCTCTGTGTCTCTCTCTGTCTCTCTGTCTCTCTGTCCGTGACCGCAGACCATGGGGTAGTCCCCACCACTACTCCTCCACGCTCTCTGTCTGTCTGTCTCTCTGTCTCTCTGTCCGTGACCACAGACCATGGGGTAGTCCCCACCACTACTCCTCCACGCTCAACTCATCCAGCAGTGGAACGGACGTCTCAGTGACCACCTGCAGCCTCTCCACTTCCGACGACGACGAGGAGGAGGTGGACGAGGAGGAGGTGGACGAGGAGGAGGTGGACGAGGAGGTGGACGAGGAGGTGGACGAGGAGGTGGACGAGGTGGAGGAGGAGGAGACTGACAATCGGTAGCCACTCGCTCACTCGCACAAGCCTAGGGGCACCCCCAGTGTCAGCTGTCTCTGTGTGTGTGTGGCCTAGGGGTACCCCCAGTGGCAGCTGTCTCTGTGTGTGTGGCCTAGGGGCACCCCCAGTGACAGCTGTCTCTGTGTGTGTGGTCTAGGGGTACCCCCAGTGGCAGCTGTCTGTGTGTGTGTGGCCTAGGGGTACCCCCAGTGGCAGCTGTCTCTGTGTGTGTGGCCTAGGGGCACCCCCAGTGGCAGCTGTCTCTGTGTGTGTGTGTGGCCTAGGGGCACCCCCAGTGACAGCTGTCTCTGTGTGTGTGGTCTAGGGGTACCCCCAGTGGCAGCTGTCTCTGTGTGTGTGTGGCCTAGGGGTACCCCCAGTGACAGCTGTCTGTGTGTGTGTGGTCTAGGGGTACCCCCAGTGGCAGCTGTCTGTGTGTGTGTGTGGTCTAGGGGCACCCCCAGTGACAGCTGTCTCTGTGTGTGTGTGGCCTAGGGGCACCCCCAGTGGCAGCTGTCTCTGTGTGTGTGTGTGTGGCCTAGGGGCACCCCCAGTGACAGCTGTCTGTGTGTGTGTGGTCTAGGGGTACCCCCAGTGGCAGCTGTCTGTGTGTGTGTGTGGTCTAGGGGCACCCCCAGTGGCAGCTGTCTCTGTGTGTGTGTGGTCTAGCCTAGGGGCACCCCCAGTGGCAGCTGTCTCTGTGTGTGTGTGTGGCCTAGGGGCACCCCCAGTGACAGCTGTCTGTGTGTGTGTGGCCTAGGGGCACCCCCAGTGGCAGCTGTCTGTGTGTGTGTGGTCTAGGGGCACCCCCAGTGGCAGCTGTCTGTGTGTGTGTGTGGCCTAGGGGCACCCCCAGTGACAGCTGTCTGTGTGTGTGTGTGGTCTAGGGGCACCCACAGTGGCAGCTGTCTCTGTGTGTGTGGCCTAGCCTAGGGGCACCCCCAGTGACAGCTGTCTCTGTGTGTGTGTGGCCTAGGGGCACCCCCAGTGGCAGCTGTCTGTGTGTATGTGTGTGGCCTAGCCTAGGGGCACCCCCAGTGGCAGCTGTCTGTGTGTGTGGCCTAGCCTAGGGGCACCCCCAGTGGCAGCTGTCTGTGTGTGTGTGGCCTAGGGGTACCCCCAGTGGCAGCTGTCTGTGTGTGTGTGGCCTAGGGGTACCCCCAGTACAGCTGTCTGTGTGTGTGTGTGGTCTAGGGGCACCCCCAGTGACAGATGTCTCTGTGTGTATGTGGTCTAGCCTAGGGGCACCCCCAGTGACAGCTGTCTCTGTGTGTGTGGTCTAGGGGTACCCCCAGTGGCAGCTGTCTGTGTGTGTGTGTGGCCTAGCCTAGGGGTACCCCCAGTGACAGCTGTCTCTGTGTGTTTGTGTGTGTGTGGTCTAGCCTAGGGGCACCCCCAGTGGCAGCTGTCTGTGTGTGTGGCCTAGGGGCTCCCCCAGTGACAGCTGTCTCTGTGTGTGTGGCCTAGGGGCACCCCCAGTGACAGCTGTCTCTGTGTGTGTGTGGTCTAGGGGCACCCCCAGTGGCAGCTGTCTGTGTGTGTGTGTGTGGTCTAGCCTAGGGGCACCCCCAGTGACAGCTGTCTCTGTGTGTGTGTGTGGCCTAGGGGCTCCCCCAGTGACAGCTGTCTGTGTGTGTGTGTGTGTGGCCTAGGGGCACCCCCAGTGGCAGCTGTCTCTGTGTGTGTGTGGTCTAGGGGCACCCCCAGTGGCAGCTGTCTGTGTGTGTGTGTGGCCTAGGGGCTCCCCCAGTGACAGCTGTCTGTGTGTGTGTGTGTGGCCTAGGGGTACCCCCAGTGACAGCTGTCTCTGTGTGTGTGTGGCCTAGGGGCACCCCCAGTGGCAGCTGTCTCTGTGTGTGTGTGGCCTAGGGGCACCCCCAGTGGCAGCCCCTTCTCTCGCTCTGTATTTGTGACGTGTGTCTGCAGGTGTAGGTACGGTGACGGTGCCGGTGAGGGCGCCGGTGCCGGTGCCGGTGACTGTGCCGGTGCCGGTGACGGTGACGGTGCCGGTTCTGGTGTCCGTGAGCGAATCCGATCCCGGTTCCAGAGCTCATCCGATCTCACCCACCGCCTTTTCGTATGCATATCAGGTGTGGGGTAGGTGGGTTACTACAGGGGTAGGTGGGTTACTACAGGGGTAGGTGAGTTACTACAGGGGTAGGTGGGTTACTACAGTTGTGGGTAGGTGGGTTACTACAGGGGTAGGTGGGTTACTACAGGGGTAGGTGGGTTACTACAGCTGTGGGTAGGTGAGTTACTACAGGGGTAGGTGAGTTACTACAGGGGTAGGTGAGTTACTACAGCTGTGGGTAGGTGGGTTACTACAGGGGTAGGTGAGTTACTACAGGGGTAGGTGGGTTACTACAGTTGTGGGTAGGTGGGTTACTACAGTTGTGGGTAGGTGGGTTACTACAGGGGTAGGTGGGTTACTACAGGGGTAGGTGGGTTACTACAGCTGTGGGTAGGTGAGTTACTACAGCTGTGGGTAGGTGGGTTACTACAGGGGTAGGTGGGTTACTACAGCTGTGGGTAGGTGGGTTACTACAGGGGTAGGTGGGTTACTACAGCTGTGGGTAGGTGGGTTACTACAGCTGTGGGTAGGTGAGTTACTACAGCTGTGGGTAGGTGGGTTACTACAGGGGTAGGTGGGTTACTACAGGGGTAGGTGGGTTACTACAGCTGTGGGTAGGTGGGTTACTACAGCTGTGGGTAGGTGGGTTACTACAGGGGTAGGTGGGTTACTACAGGTGTGGGTAGGTGGGTTACTACAGGGGTAGGTGGGTTACTACAGCTGTGGGTAGGTGGGTTACTACAGCTGTGGGTAGGTGGGTTACTACAGCTGTGGGTAGGTGGGTTACTACAGGTGTGGGTAGGTGGGTTACTACAGGGGTAGGTGGGTTACTACAGCTGTGGGTAGGTGAGTTACTACAGCTGTGGGTAGGTGGGTTACTACAGGGGTAGGTGGGTTACTACAGCTGTGGGTAGGTGGGTTACTACAGGGGTAGGTGGGTTACTACAGCTGTGGGTAGGTGGGTCACTACAGGTGTGGGTAGGTGAGTTACTACAGCTGTGGGTAGGTGGGTTACTACAGGGGTAGGTGGGTTACTACAGGGGTAGGTGGGTTACTACAGCTGTGGGTAGGTGGGTTACTACAGCTGTGGGTAGGTGGGTTACTACAGGGGTAGGTGGGTTACTACAGGTGTGGGTAGGTGGGTTACTACAGGGGTAGGTGGGTTACTACAGCTGTGGGTAGGTGGGTTACTACAGCTGTGGGTAGGTGGGTTACTACAGCTGTGGGTAGGTGGGTTACTACAGGGGTAGGTGAGTTACTACAGGGGTAGGTGAGTTACTACAGCTGTGGGTAGGTGGGTTACTACAGCTGTGGGTAGGTGGGTTACTACAGGGGTAGGTGGGTTACTACAGGGGTAGGTGAGTTACTACAGCTGTGGGTAGGTGGGTTACTACAGGGGTGGGTAGGTGGGTTACTACAGCTGTGGGTAGGTGGGTTACTACAGGGGTAGGTGGGTTACTACAGGTGTGGGTAGGTGGGTTACTACAGCTGTGGGTAGGTGGGTTACTACAGGGGTAGGTGGTTTACTACAGGTGTGGGTAGGTGTGTTACTACAGGGGTAGGTGGGTTACTACAGGGGTAGGTGAGTTACTACAGGGGTAGGTGAGTTACTACAGGGGTAGGTGGGTTACTACAGCTGTGGGTAGGTGGGTTACTACAGGTGTGGGTAGGTGAGTTACTACAGCTGTGGGTAGGTGAGTTACTACAGCTGTGGGTAGGCGGGTTACTACAGCTGTGGGTAGGTGGGTTACTACAGGTGTGGGTAGGTGGGTTACTACAGGTGTGGGTAGGTGAGTTACTACAGCTGTGGGTAGGTGGGTTACTACAGGTGTGGGTAGGTGGGTTACTACAGCTGTGGGTAGCTGGGTTACTACAGCTGTGGGTAGGTGGGTTACTACAGGTGTGGGTAGGTGGGTTACTACAGCTGTGGGTAGGTGGGTTACTACAGGGGTAGGTGGGTTACTACAGCTGTGGGTAGGTGAGTTACTACAGCTGTGGGTAGGTGGGTTACTACAGGGGTAGGTGAGTTACTACAGCTGTGGGTAGGTGAGTTACTACAGGGGTAGGTGGGTTACTACAGGTGTGGGTAGGTGGGTTACTACAGCTGTGGGTAGGTGGGTTACTACAGGGGTAGGTAGGTGGGTTACTACAGGGGTAGGTGGGTTACTACAGGTGTGGGTAGGTGGGTTACTACAGGGGTAGGTGGGTTACTACAGCTGTGGGTAGGTGGGTTACTACAGCTGTGGGTAGGTGGGTTACTACAGCTGTGGGTAGGTAGGTTACTACAGGTGTGGGTAGCTGGGTTACTACAGCTGTGGGTAGGTGGGTTACTACAGCTGTGGGTAGGTGGGTTACTACAGGTGTGGGTAGGTGGGTTACTACAGGGGTAGGTGGGTTACTACAGCTGTGGGTAGGTGGGTTACTACAGGGGTAGGTGGGTTACTACAGGGGTAGGTGGGTTACTACAGCTGTGGGTAGCTGGGTTACTACAGCTGTGGGTAGGTGGGTTACTACAGGTGTGGGTAGGTGGGTTACTACAGCTGTGGGTAGGTGAGTTACTACAGCTGTGGGTAGGTGAGTTACTACAGCTGTGGGTAGGTGGGTTACTACAGGGGTAGGTGGGTTACTACAGGGGTAGGTGGGTTACTACAGGGGTAGGTGGGTTACTACAGGGGTAGGTGGGTTACTACAGGGGTAGGTGGGTTACTACAGGGGTAGGTGGGTTACTACAGCTGTGGGTAGGTGGGTTACTACAGGGGTAGGTGGGTTACTACAGCTGTGGGTAGGTGGGTTACTACAGGTGTGGGTAGGTGGGTTACTACAGCTGTGGGTAGGTGGGTTACTACAGGGGTAGGTGGGTTACTACAGGGGTAGGTGGGTTACTACAGGTGTGGGTAGGTGGGTTACTACAGGGGTAGGTGGGTTACTACAGGGGTAGGTGGGTTACTACAGGTGTGGGTAGGTGAGTTACTACAGGGGTAGGTGGGTTACTACAGGTGTGGGTAGGTGGGTTACTACAGCTGTGGGTAGGTGGGTTACTACAGGGGTAGGTAGGTGAGTTACTACAGGGGTAGGTGGGTTACTACAGCTGTGGGTAGGTGAGTTACTACAGGGGTAGGTGGGTTACTACAGCTGTGGGTAGGTGGGTTACTACAGGTGTGGGTAGGTGGGTTACTACAGGGGTAGGTGGGTTACTACAGCTGTGGGTAGGTGGGTTACTACAGCTGTGGGTAGGTGGGTTACTACAGCTGTGGGTAGGTGGGTTACTACAGGTGTGGGTGGGTGGGTTACTACAGCTGTGGGTAGGTGAGTTACTACAGGGGTAGGTGGGTTACTACAGCTGTGGGTAGGTGGGTTACTACAGGGGTAGGTGGGTTACTACAGGGTAGGTGGGTTACTACAGGGGTAGGTGGGTTACTACAGCTGTGGGTAGGTGGGTTACTACAGGGGTAGGTAGGTGGGTTACTACAGGTGTGGGTAGCTGGGTTACTACAGGGGTAGGTGAGTTACTACAGGTGTGGGTAGGTGAGTTACTACAGCTGTGTTTAGGTGAGTTACTACAGCTGTGGGTAGGTGGGTTACTACAGCTGTGGGTAGGTGGGTTACTACAGCTGTGGGTAGGTGGGTTACTACAGCTGTGGGTAGGTGGGTTACTACAGGTGTGGGTAGGTGGGTTACTACAGCTGTGGGTAGGTGAGTTACTACAGGGGTAGGTGGGTTACTACAGGTGTGGGTAGGTGAGTTACTACAGGGGTAGGTGAGTTACTACAGCTGTGGGTAGCTGGGTTACTACAGCTGTGGGTAGGTGGGTTACTACAGGGGTAGGTGGGTTACTACAGCTGTGGGTAGGTGGGTTACTACAGGGGTAGGTGGGTTACTACAGGGGTAGGTGGGTTACTACAGGTGTGGGTAGGTGGGTTACTACAGCTGTGGGTAGGTGGGTTACTACAGCTGTGGGTAGGTGGGTTACTATAGGTGTGGGTGGGTGGGTTACTACAGGGGTAGGTGGGTTACTACAGGTGTGGGTAGGTGGGTTACTACAGCTGTGGGTAGGTGGGTTACTACAGCTGTGGGTAGGTGGGTTACTACAGGGGTAGGTAGGTGGGTTACTACAGGTGTGGGTAGCTGGGTTACTACAGGGGTAGGTGAGTTACTACAGCTGTGTTTAGGTGAGTTACTACAGCTGTGGGTAGGTGAGTTACTACAGCTGTGGGTAGGTGGGTTACTACAGGTGTGGGTAGGTGGGTTACTACAGCTGTGGGTAGGTGGGTTACTACAGCTGTGGGTAGGTGGGTTACTACAGCTGTGGGTAGGTGGGTTACTACAGGTGTGGGTAGGTGGGTTACTACAGCTGTGGGTAGGTGAGTTACTACAGGGGTAGGTGGGTTACTACAGGTGTGGGTAGGTGAGTTACTACAGGGGTAGGTGAGTTACTACAGGGGTAGGTGAGTTACTACAGCTGTGGGTAGGTGGGTTACTACAGCTGTGGGTAGGTGAGTTACTACAGGGGTAGGTGAGTTACTACAGCTGTGGGTAGGTGAGTTACTACAGCTGTGGGTAGGTGAGTTACTACAGGGGTAGGTGGGTTACTACAGCTGTGGGTAGGTGGGTTACTACAGGGGTAGGTGGGTTACTACAGCTGTGGGTAGGTGGGTTACTACAGGTGTGGGTAGGTGGGTTACTACAGCTGTGGGTAGGTGAGTTACTACAGGGGTAGGTAGGTGGGTTACTACAGCTGTGGGTAGGTGGGTTACTACAGGGGTAGGTGGGTTACTACAGCTGTGGGTAGGTGGGTTACTACAGCTGTGGGTAGGTGGGTTACTACAGGGGTAGGTGAGTTACTACAGGGGTAGGTGGGTTACTACAGGTGTGGGTAGGTGAGTTACTACAGGGGTAGGTGAGTTACTACAGCTGTGGGTAGGTGAGTTACTACAGGGGTAGGTAGGTGGGTTACTACAGGGGTAGGTGGGTTACTACAGCTGTGGGTAGGTGGGTTACTACAGGTGTGGGTAGGTGAGTTACTACAGCTGTGGGTAGGTGGGTTACTACAGGGGTAGGTAGGTGGGTTACTACAGGGGTAGGCGGGTTGCTACAGGTGTGGGTGGGTGGGTAGGCAGGTGAGTGGCTGAGTGAGTGGCTGTGTGGTGGGTGACTGATTGGTTGAGTGAGTGACTGAGTGACTGACTGAGTGGCTGACTGAGTGGCTGAGTGACTGAGTGGCTCACTGAGTGACTGACTGAGTGAGTGACGGAGTGAGTGACTGACTGAGTGGCTGAGTGACTGACTGAGTGACTGAGTGACTGACTGAGTGACTGACTCACTGACTCACTGAGTGAGTGACTCACTGAGTGAGTGACTCACTGAGTGAGTGACTCACTGAGTGAGTGAGTGACTGAGTGAGTGACTGAGTGAGTGAATGAGTGAGTGAATGAGTGACTGACTGAGTGAGTGACTGAGTGAGTGACTGACTGAGTGACTGAGTGAGTGACTGAGTGACTGAGTGACTGACTGAGTGACTGAGTAACTGAGTGACTGAGTAACTGAGTGAGTGAATGAGTGACTGACTGACTGAGTGACTGACTGACTGAGTGACTGACTGAGTGGCTGACTGACTGAGTGACTCACTGAGTGAGTGACTCACTGAGTGAGTGACTCACTGAGTGAGTGACTCACTGAGTGAGTGACTCACTGAGTGAGTGACTGAGTGAGTGAATGAGTGAGTGACTGAGTGAGTGACTGAGTGAGTGACGTGAGTGAGTGACTGAGTGAGTGAGTGACTGAGTGACTGACTGACTGAGTGACTGACTGAGTGACTGAGTAACTGAGTGACTGAGTGACTGAGTGAGTGAATGAGTGACTGACTGACTGAGTGACTGACTGAGTGACTGACTGAGTGGCTGACTGACTGAGTGAGTGAATGAGTGACTGAGTGACTGAGTGACTGACTGAGTGACTGACTGACTGAGTGAATGAATGAGTGGCTGACTGAGTGACTGACTGAGTGACTGACTGAGTGACTGAGTAACTGAGTGACTGAGTGAGTGAATGAGTGGCTGACTGACTGAGTGGCTGACTGACTGAGTGAATGAATGAGTGACTGACTGAGTAACTGAGTGAATGAGTGACTGAGTAACTGAGTGAATGAGTGACTGAGTGACTGACTGAGTGACTGACTGACTGAGTGACTGACTGAGTGACTGACTGAGTGACTGAGTGACTCACTGAGTGAGTGACTGACTGAGTGAGTGACTGAGTGACTGACTGAGTGACTGAGTGACTGACTGAGTGACTGAGTGACTGAGTGACTCACTGAGTGAGTTACTGACTGAGTGGCTGACTGAGTGACTGAGTGAGTGACTGACTGAGTGACTGACTGAGTGACTGAGTGAGTGACTGACTGAGTGACTGACTGAGTGACTGACTGAGTGACTGACTGAGTGAGTGACTGAGTGACTGACTGAGTGACTGAGTAACTGAGTGACTGAGTAACTGAGTGAGTGAATGAGTGGCTGACTGACTGAGTGGCTGACTGACTGAGTGAATGAATGAGTGACTGACTGAGTAACTGAGTGAATGAGTGACTGAGTAACTGAGTGAATGAGTGACTGAGTGACTGACTGAGTGACTGACTGAGTGACTGACTGAGTGACTGAGTGACTCACTGAGTGAGTGAGTGACTCACTGAGTGAGTGACTGACTGAGTGACTGACTGAGTGACTGAGTGAGTGACTGAGTGAGTGACTGACTGAGTGACTGAGTGAGTGACTCACTGAGTGAGTGACTGACTGACTGAGTGACTAACTGAGTGACTACGCTTCTAGGCGTGGCTGACCAGCTCCAGACGAACTGTGCGAGTGATCTCCGAGTGATCCTCAAGTCTCTGTTCGAGATGTCCACCACGAGGCCGGCCAGCGAACACGAACGTGGTGCGCACCACACTGTACACACACCGCACTGTACAAACAACGCACACCGCACTGTACACGGCACACCCCACTGTACACCGCACCCACACTGTACACCGCACACCCCACTGTACACCGCACACTACACTGTACACGGCACACACTGTATACCGCACACTACACTGTACACGGCACACACTGTATACCGCACACCCCACTGTACACGACACGCACTGTATACCGCACACCTCACTGTACACCACACACCGCACTGTACACGGCACACACTGTATACCGCACACCACACTGTACACGGCACACACTGTACACCGCACTTTACTGTGCACTGTACAGGCGGTCCCGGCTCTCACGACGTAGAACTATAATTGTGTGTTGCGTGTGACGTGTTGCGTGTGACGTGTTGCGTGTGACGTGTTGCGTGTGACGTGTTGCGTGTGACGTGTTGCATGTGACATGTTGTGTGTGACGTGTTGTGTGTGACGTGTTGCATGTGACATGTTGCGTGTGACGTGTTGCGTGTGACATGTTGTGTGTGACGTGTGACATGTTGTGTGTGACGTGTTGCGTGTGACGTGTTGCATGTGACATGTTGTGTGTGACGTGTTGCGTGTGACATGTTGCGTGTGACGTGTGACGTGTGACGTGTTGCGTGTGACGTGTGACGTGTGACGTGTTGCGTGTGACGTGTGACGTGTGACATGTGACGTGTGACATGTGACGTGTGACGTGTTGCGTGTGACGTGTGACGTGTTGCGTGTGACGTGTGACGTGTGACATGTGACGTGTGACATGTGACGTGTGACGTGTTGCGTGTGACGTGTTGCGTGTGACGTGTTGTGTGTGACATGTTGCGTGTGACGTGTGACGTGTGACGTGTGACGTGTTGCGTGTGACGTGTGACGTGTGACGTGTTGCGTGTGACGTGTGACGTGTGACATGTGACGTGTGACATGTGACGTGTGACGTGTTGCGTGTGACGTGTTGCGTGTGACGTGTTGTGTGTGACATGTTGCGTGTGACGTGTGACATGTTGCGTGTGACGTTGCGTGTGACGTGTGACGTGTTGCGTGTGACATGTTGCGTGTTGCGTGTGACGTGTGACGTGTTGCGTGTTGTGTGTGACATGTTGCGTGTTGCGTGTGACGTTGCGTGTGACGTTGCGTGTGACGTGTGACGTGTTGCGTGTGACATGTTGCGTGTTGCGTGTGACATGTGACGTGTTGCGTGTTGTGTGTGACATGTTGCGTGTGACATGTTGCGTGTGACGTGTGACATGTTGCGTGTGACGTGTTGCGTGTGACGTGTTGCGTGTGACATGTTGTGTGTGACGTGTGACGTGTGACGTGTTGCGTGTTGCGTGTGACGTGTTGCGTGTGACATGTTGCGTGTTGTGTGTGGCGTGTTGTGTGTGACATGTGACGTGTTGCGTGTGACGTGTGACATGTTGTGTGTTGCGTGTTACATGTTGCGTGTTGCGTGTGGCGTGTGACATGTTACGTGTGACGTGTTGCGTGTTGTGTGTTGTGTGCAGTGCCAGCCTTGGTGCACGACCCTCTGCTGGAGGACTGTGCCCTGTGCAGGGAGGTGGAGTCCGGAGCGGAGAGAAGCCGCAGCAAGACGCAGCACTTCACAGGTCACTCACACACACACACACTGTGTGTATCACTGTGTGTGTGTACACTGTGTACACTGTGTACACACAGTGTGTGTACACTGTGTACACAGTGTACACACAGTGTGTGTACACACACACTGTGTGTACACTGACAGTGTGTGTGTATACACAGTGTGTGTGTGTACACTGTCAGTGTGTGTATCACTGTGTGTCACTCTGTGTGTCACTGTGTGTGTGTGTCACTGTGTGTGTACACTGTGTGTGTGTGTGTACACACACAGTGTGTGTACACACACTGTGTGTGTACACACACTGTGTGTGTACACACACAGTGTGTGTATCACAGGTCACTCACACACACACACACTGTGTGTAACACACACACACTGTGTGTAACACACACACACTGTGTGTAACACAGGTCACTCACTCACACACACACTGTGTGTAACACAGGTCACTCACTCACACACACACTGTGTGTATCACTGTGTGTAACACAGGTCACTCACTCACACACACACTGTGTGTATCACAGGTCACTCACACACACACTGTGTGTATCACAGGTCACTCACACACACACACTGTGTGTATCACAGGTCACTCACACACACACACACTGTGTGTAACACACACACACTGTGTGTAACACAGGTCACTCACACACACACTGTGTGTATCACAGGTCACTCACACACACACACACTGTGTGTAACACAGGTCACTCACACACACACACACTGTGTGTAACACACACACACTGTGTGTAACACAGGTCACTCACACACACACTGTGTGTATCACAGGTCACTCACACACACACACACTGTGTGTATCACAGGTCACTCACACACACACACTGTGTGTATCACAGGTCACTCACACACACACACACTGTGTGTAACACAGGTCACTCACACACACACACTGTGTGTATCACAGGTCACTCACACACACACTGTGTGTATCACAGGTCACTCACACACACACACACTGTGTGTATCACAGGTCACTCACACACACACACACTGTGTGTATCACAGGTCACTCACACACACACACACTGTGTGTATCACAGGTCACTCACACACACACTGTGTGTATCACAGGTCACTCACACACACACACACACTGTGTGTATCACAGGTCACTCACACACACACACACTGTGTGTATCACAGGTCACTCACACACACACACACTGTGTGTATCACAGGTCACTCACACACACACTGTCAGTGTGTCACAGGTCACTCACACACACACACACTGTGTGTATCACAGGTCACTCACACACACACACACTGTGTGTATCACAGGTCACTCACACACACACTGTGTGTATCACAGGTCACTCACACACACACACTGTGTGTATCACAGGTCACTCACACACACACACACTGTGTGTATCACAGGTCACTCACACACACACACACTGTGTGTATCACAGGTCACTCACACACACACACACTGTGTGTAACACAGGTCACTCACACACACACACACTGTGTGTAACACACACACACTGTGTGTAACACAGGTCACTCACACACACACTGTGTGTATCACAGGTCACTCACACACACACACACTGTGTGTATCACAGGTCACTCACACACACACACTGTGTGTATCACAGGTCACTCACACACACACACACTGTGTGTAACACAGGTCACTCACACACACACACTGTGTGTATCACAGGTCACTCACACACACACTGTGTGTATCACAGGTCACTCACACACACACACACTGTGTGTATCACAGGTCACTCACACACACACACACTGTGTGTATCACAGGTCACTCACACACACACACACTGTGTGTATCACAGGTCACTCACACACACACTGTGTGTATCACAGGTCACTCACACACACACACACACTGTGTGTATCACAGGTCACTCACACACACACACACTGTGTGTATCACAGGTCACTCACACACACACACACTGTGTGTATCACAGGTCACTCACACACACACTGTCAGTGTATCACAGGTCACTCACACACACACACACTGTGTGTATCACAGGTCACTCACACACACACACACTGTGTGTATCACAGGTCACTCACACACACACTGTGTGTATCACAGGTCACTCACACACACACACACTGTCAGTGTATCACAGGTCACTCACACACACACACACTGTGTGTATCACAGGTCACTCACACACACACACACTGTGTGTATCACAGGTCACTCACACACACACTGTGTGTATCACAGGTCACTCACACACACACACACTGTGTGTAACACACACACACTGTGTGTAACACAGGTCACTCACACACACACTGTGTACACTGTGTGTAACACAGGTCACTCACACACACACACTGTGTGTATCACAGGTCACTCACACACACACACTGTGTGTAACACAGGTCACTCACACACACACACACTGTGTGTAACACAGGTCACTCACACACACACACTGTGTGTAACACAGGTCACTCACACACACACACACTGTGTGTATCACAGGTCACTCACACACACACACACTGTGTGTATCACAGGTCACTCACACACACACTGTGTGTATCACAGGTCACTCACACACACACACTGTGTGTATCACAGGTCACTCACACACACACACACTGTGTGTATCACAGGTCACTCACACACACACTGTGTGTATCACAGGTCACACACACACACACACTGTGTGTAACACAGGTCACTCACACACACACACACTGTGTGTATCACAGGTCACTCACACACACACACACTGTGTGTATCACAGGTCACTCACACACTGTGTGTATCACAGGTCACTCACACACACACTGTGTGTATCACAGGTCACTCACACACACACACACTGTGTGTATCACAGGTCACTCACACACACACACACTGTGTGTATCACAGGTCACTCACACACTGTGTGTATCACAGGTCACTCACACACACACTGTGTGTATCACAGGTCACTCACACACACACACACTGTGTGTATCACAGGTCACTCACACACTGTGTGTATCACAGGTCACTCACACACACACACTGTGTGTATCACAGGTCACTCACACACACACACACTGTGTGTATCACAGGTCACTCACACACACACACTGTGTGTATCACAGGTCACTCACACACACACACACACTGTGTGTATCACAGGTCACTCACACACACACTGTGTGTATCACAGGTCACTCACACACACACTGTGTGTATCACAGGTCACTCACACACACACACACTGTGTGTATCACAGGTCACTCACACACTGTGTGTATCACAGGTCACTCACACACACACACTGTGTGTATCACAGGTCACTCACACACACACACACTGTGTGTATCACAGGTCACTCACACACACACACTGTGTGTATCACAGGTCACTCACACACACACACACACTGTGTGTATCACAGGTCACTCACACACACACTGTGTGTATCACAGGTCACTCACACACACACTGTGTGTATCACAGGTCACTCACACACACACACACTGTGTGTATCACAGGTCACTCACACACACACTGTGTACACTGTGTGTAACACAGGTCACTCACACACACACACTGTGTGTATCACAGGTCACTCACACACACACACACTGTGTGTAACACAGGTCACTCACACACACACACACTGTGTGTATCACAGGTCACTCACACACACACACACTGTCAGTGTAACACTGTGTCAGTGTGTACACTGTGTACACAGTGTACACACAGTGTGTGTACACTGTGTACACACACTGTGTGTATCACAGGTCACTCACACACACACTGTGTGTATCACAGGTCACTCACACACACACACACTGTGTGTATCACAGGTCACTCACACACACACACACTGTGTGTAACACTGTGTCACTCACACACACACACTGTGTGTATCACAGGTCACTCACACACACACTGTGTGTATCACAGGTCACTCACACACACACACACTGTGTGTATCACAGGTCACTCACACACACACACACTGTGTGTATCACAGGTCACTCACACACACACACACTGTGTGTATCACAGGTCACTCACACACACACACTGTGTGTATCACAGGTCACTCACACACACACACACTGTGTGTAACACAGGTCACTCACACACACACACACTGTGTGTATCACAGGTCACTCACACACACACACACTGTCAGTGTAACACTGTGTCAGTGTGTACACTGTGTACACAGTGTACACACAGTGTGTGTACACTGTGTACACACACTGTGTGTATCACAGGTCACTCACACACACACTGTGTGTATCACAGGTCACTCACACACACACACACTGTGTGTATCACAGGTCACTCACACACACACACACTGTGTGTAACACTGTGTCACTCACACACACACACTGTGTGTATCACAGGTCACTCACACACACACTGTGTGTATCACAGGTCACTCACACACACACACACTGTGTGTATCACAGGTCACTCACACACACACACACTGTGTGTATCACAGGTCACTCACACACACACACACTGTGTGTATCACAGGTCACACACACACACACACACTGTGTGTATCACAGGTCACTCACACACACACACACTGTGTGTATCACAGGTCACACACACACACACTGTGTGTATCACAGGTCACTCACACACACACACACTGTGTGTATCACAGGTCACTCACACACACACACACTGTGTGTATCACAGGTCACACACACACACACACACTGTGTGTAACACAGGTCACTCACACACACACACACTGTGTGTAACACACACACACTGTGTGTAACACAGGTCACTCACACACACACACACTGTGTGTAACACAGGTCACTCACACACACACACACTGTGTGTATCACAGGTCACTCACACACACACTGTGTGTATCACAGGTCACTCACACACACACACTGTGTGTATCACAGGTCACTCACACACACACACACTGTGTGTATCACAGGTCACTCACACACACACACTGTGTGTATCACAGGTCACTC